CTTCAAAGAAACTATTTGCTAAATGATAATGTCAATAATTTGCATTTCCCTGCAACAGATTGACAATCTGTTAAGTCCCTGATAATGAAAGTTATCTCTACCATCTTGTCTTTCCAAGTTTCCCCTAGTCATCTTTTGTTGAAACCAAGCATAGGGCAGAAATCTAAATAAACTAGAAAGGTGCCTTCCAGAGTCTTCCAGGGATCAGGAATAAAGACTGTCCAAAGACTCACCTTCAGTTTTGAGCTTTGAAGTTCAAAAGTGGACAGGTGGAAATATTGTGTTCTTCATTGCCCTTTGGTGCAAGATATATTCTAGGTTGCAGAGTAAGTGCCAACAGCAGCAAAATTATCGCCCCCTCCTGCTACTATAGTAAGTCAGCAATGGCCCTTCTGTGGTCAGAATGGCAAATTCAGCAGCAGCTATTCGACAGGGATTTGCAAAAAACTTCCCCATAGCTGCTAGGAATCTTATTCAGCAGTGTCTTTGAAAACCCAATTCTGTGCAGAATTAGCTATGTGGCAATGACCTCAGTTGTGATTTAAAAAAAAAAAAAAAAAGTGTTTTGAACAAATCCAAGTTGTGATTTCTCTCCCTGTGTATTTTGCATGTACCACTGCAAACTCTATGGGGTACCTACACAAATATCCAGTGTTCATAAGTTTTCTAGTTCAGAGTTTATTTCCATATTAACATTAAAAATCCCTGGCTTTTCTAGAGTCAGTTCACCATACAAAGCCACTATACATCACTTAGGTTTGTGATGAAACAATGGCATTGCAGCTGTGTGAGTACTAGAATACCCAAACATGAATTAGACTCACAAGCATTTGGCAATAGTTCAGAAAAGGAGCTTAATCTGGTTTCATCTGAGACTGCTTTTCTCTGTTCTACAACATCCCCCCAAGATGTTGTGTCTGATATCTGATCACACCATGATGGCAGTGACGAAAAATCAGAGAAAGCCCCCAAAACCAAGGGCACATTTTTTTCTCCAGAGATTTTTTTTTTAACCCTTCCACTTTTTTTTTTTCTTTTCCCCCATCCCAGACCCCAACTCTAACATTCAAGGTCATTCACCTATTAGATGAATTAATTTTAAACCCCCAAAGCAGCATTCATCGTACTCTGATCTCACTCATATCTATAATTAAGGGTAAATATAATCTTCCTTTTTAGAAATGAACCACCCACCCATTACATTTAAAGAGCTGACTGAAATGAAATAATAGTTCAGAGCGAGATGATTTTAGTTTAACAAGAAAAAAAAAAGTTGATAATTTAAGCTTCAAGCAGTTAGTTCTATTTTTGATTACCATTCAGTTATAAATCTAATTTGAGATATATGTTGCTTTTCTGTTTCTCAAGTTTAATTCATGGTTTGCATTCCTGGTTGCATAAGCAAAGTTTAGTGGTTGATCGAGGACGTTAAGATGCTCCCCCCTAAAAGCAATAGGGGCAGGATTGAGACAGTGTGAGAAGGACAGTGTGAGGCCCAGATCTGATGTAAAACAAACAAAAATTTTAATTGAAACAGATCCTCAAAGAATGCTGCCTTTGGCCTTTGAATGGCTAGGCTAAAATTGGCTCTTTGCTGGAGAATGGGTTGCAGGGGGTGAATCTCAAACATTGAAAGCCGGTTGAAAAAGTGAGTGTATTTTACTCTTTGGGTAGGGTATTTCAGGTCTTGAGATTGTTTGCCTGTGGATGAAAGGAGCGAACAGGGGGAAGGGCTTGTCTCATCAAATTGCAGACAGTTAAGCAAAATGCTAACCCATGGGTGTAAGATTTACAGGTTAGTTCTCTGCGAGGCCACATCTTGTTTCCAGTGTTTCCTGGCAGACTTGGTCTGCTTGCTCCTGGGACCCAGGGTAACCGCAGAGCCAGGTTGCACAACGTGAAGAGCCTAAAGCCTTTACAATCCTATTTAAGGCAAGGACGAATTGGCCCATTTTGAAAGTAGACTTAGCTTCCAAACTTGACTTGCATTAAACATAAACTTGTCTTCAGAGCTGTAGATACATGTAGGTAAACTCACATATAAATGAATGCCTTCTCCATTTTTAGATTGAATGCCATTAACTTTTTTAAATTCACAAAGTCAGGCTTTTCAGCCAGTGGAACTTTTTTTTTTTTTTTTTTTTTACCTCCTCAAGGCTACAAAGAGTTAAGTGTATGACATAAAGACCAAACAATAGTAAATGGTCATTGTTCATTTTACAAGTATACTTTACAATAAGAACACATATATTTTTATCTTCATTTTCCCTAAGGGGGTGATTAGGATCCCCTTAAGTGTGAGGAAATGTTTATTTTTGTTGCTTTAGAAGAATGATTCTATTGTCCAAGTGAAAAAGAAATAGGAACAAACAGGTTTAAAGAGAAAGAAACAGGAATGTGCTTTTTTTTTTTCCGGGGGTGGGTGGTTAGCAGGAGCCACTAAGTGTGATGAAGGGCTATCTGGTCTTTGTATTGTGCACAGTTCATGTGGCTGCATATGCAAGAGTTGATTTATTTATGACTGGCCCATGAAATGATTTTCTTTTAAATGAACAACAATGAGGTCAGCCACAACCAGTTAGCTGTTTTTCGGCTATCATTTTATATTTTGAACAACTCTATTGTGAATGCCGTTAAAACCCAGGGTAACAAGCATGTTTGCTTTTAGGTTGACCCGTTAAATGCATTTACTTTCCTGAGAGTGAAACCTTTGCCACCAAGACCAACAGGAATTAACCAGTGGTTAGGCTCATTAAAAAGAGAAGCAAGCATCTCAGCTGATTTGCTGAGCCCTTTTCTGAATATTTTGTATGTTATTTAGGGAAAAGAAAAGTAGAGAAATAGAGTAATGTCTGTCAATACAATGCTTATACTATTGGTAAATACAAAGTTATCAATAATATCATTTCCATGGGGCTAGGGATGTAATTCAGTGTAGAGCACTTGCCTAGCATGCAGGAAGCCTGGATTTGATCCTCAGTGCTGCAAAATAAGTTGATAATAATAATAATAATGATAATAATAATAATAATATCATTTTCAAACTTCCTTTTTCCAATGAAATAAAGACTCAGATTTACCAAACTGTCTGGAGCTTGTGACTTCAGATCATCTGAAGCTTTCTCATTGGAAATGTCAAAGAAAAGTTTGGAAGACTTAAATATACACACTTTGTTAATAAGAATTGCCCAGTGTGAAATTTCAGGTTGAAATTTTTAAATTTTTGAATAAAGCTCCTAAACTTATGTTTTAAAAAAAAAATCAATGTTGTACTGTTAGATTCTCAGCTGATAGAAAACTTTGTGATAGTGAGTTCTACATTTCAGTCTGCCCTGGGGGGCAGCATTTCAGTGTCTGTCTGAAGTTCCTGAGAGGCAGTGGTTGAGCATGCAGAGGTCAGGTTATCATCTGGCAAAGAATCGTTTTTTACCAGCTATTTATGTGGTAAATCTTAAGATGCTAGCAAGGATTACTCAGTATGTGCTTTCAACTTTCATATCTCATCTTCGGGTTTTTATTTTAAAATAATGTTTTTTATGTACCCCTTGAAAAAGTCGTGCGCTGGGAGCAGTGACGGCAGGCCTGTCAGCAGCTGATTAGTCCTTTATATATTACTCATCCAACACTCACAAAAACCCCTCGCAATAGAGAGGACTCTATGATATTTAGCGATATGGCAGTGGAAAGGGGAGGTTTGAATTTTTGATTTTCCAGCTTATGGGTCATATTTGACCAACTGCTTTCACTAGAGGACATGCCACTTTGTTGAGCTATTTAGGAATCAAAAAGACTGTCTTAATTTAAAACAAGGACCCTTTGTTTTAGTTGGTGACTGCCTTGTGAAATTTTTCAGTTCTCAGCGGGTTAACCAGGGAACAGGGGCAGAGTCATAATTGGCCTATTTAGAGTATTTTGCATGTGAATAGTGTGTTAGTGAAGCATCCCTAAGTCTGTTGTGAGTGACATGGTGATTAGAATTTAGATTAGGGAAAACACATTCTGTACTTTATCAAGGACAGTAATTAGTTCAGTCAGTAAAAGTTGATTACAAGTAACGATAAAGTTAGATTTTTAGTACTTAATTTTAAAATTTCTTTATTAAACAGTAAATTTGTTCTTAATATAAATGGTACTATCTACACTTGTTTTATTGCATATCAGAATAATTAAAAGAACAATGTGTTCAATGCAGAGTATAATCAGGCGATTTATATATTATGGGTAAGTTTCTATGTAGCTTTTAGAAAATGTGATATTATTATATAATCTTTCTGATGTCATCATTTTTGAAAGTGTAGTAATTTGTCACACCGTGATAAGTTAATGATATTTGTGAAAGTTTTCTAGTATTCAGGTAAATGTTTAATCTGTGAGGATGTGTTTAGCTTCCGATAGTCCTCAAGAGAGCATTCTAAAGTTCTTTGATTTGTTCCTGTGAGCTTAGAATGCCTACTTTTTCTGAAATGGTGCAAGTTGGTTCAGCTGGTGTTTTCAAGTCGGTGGGTGCCGTGGGGATTCACGGAGGATCATGGCGTGCGGGGGCAGAGGGACAGGGTTCTTACTGGTGTGGATCGGGCACACTTGTCCCCAGTGTGCGCAGCCGGGGCAAGTTCGAAAAATGAGATTCTTGTTGGTCTTGTGAAGGAAGGGCATGAATAGTCCCCAGATATGAGCCTCAGTCTAGAGAAAGAAAACACCCCTCTTTCAGAAATGCCATTTTCATAGGAAATTAAAACATGAGTCATCTGAAAAGATTTAAAGAATCCGTGGTTTAAAGGGAATCATACCTCCCTCTCAAAAGGGAAGAATGCAAATGGGTAAACTGGGGGATCGCTTCCTAGACGGCTTTTCCTTTTTGGTTTGTGTTTTGGTCATTGTTTCAGCTCAGCAGATGCTGTTTTCTCTACTGCTTGGGTCTAAATAGTACTAGCAATCAGTTGAGGGGTGGTGAATGTCAAGAAGTAAACTTATGTGTTTGTTTCTTCTTCTTAACCTTTTAGCAGAGTCTCCTTGGAGGGGACATGGATATGGGCAATCCAGGAACCCTTTCGCCCACCAAACCTGGCTCCCAGTACTATCAGTATTCTAGCAATAACCCCCGACGGAGGCCTCTTCACAGTAGTGCCATGGGTAAGGTCTTCTTCTGTTTGAATGCCTGAGTGTCATTTTTTCTTTTCTCTTTTTAAAATTCCACCCTCTCACCCTATTTCTACTCCACCTTCTCCCCAAACCCCCTAAAATTTGGCTTGTCAGGCTGATGGCCCCCTCCCCAGTAGCCCACTGGGCAGATAGATAACGTTAACAATGTATAGCAGCAAGAGAACTTTTTTTGGTGTCTGCTTATTTCTGGATTTCTCTTGGTGACACACAGAACGAACCTTAAAAAAAAAAAAAAGAAGCAGTAACAAGTTAAATACAGCATCTTTATTTTTATGAACAAGGCAGAATTGATCTCTGCTAGAATTAAAGGTGATAGTGGTAACCATGGCGCTGTGGGAATGATTTAACAAAATGTGGTCTCATCTCAGTGGCTTTCTGGGATCATGTATTTTAGTTTGGAAAATGGGCCTGTGAGAGCTCACCTCATCTTCATTTTCTTTCAGAGGTGCAGACAAAAAAAGTTCGAAAAGTTCCTCCAGGTTTGCCATCTTCAGTAAGTACTGCTTGTTTCTCTACTGTTCACTTTGTGTTCGGGTTTTGTGCTGCTGTGAATGAGCTAGAAGTCAATGTGATTCCGTGCGCCCCGAGAAGCAGGTTTATCCAGAATGTGGACGAGGAGGTAGGAATGACCTGCAGGTCCAGCTACCTGGTCCACCTTGGAGTGATGGATTGAGCATCCCAGAAGACTGGGTGGTCATGTTGGTATTCAGCAGGTTAAGCTCTAAAGAGAGCCTTGAAAGCGGGCCTGGGGTTCTAGCAGTTTTACCTGTATAGAGCTTTCAAGAGAATGAGTATTAGTTTCATGTGTTGGTTAAATTCTTTTGTCAGTATTATGATGATTTATGGATTTGCATGCGAAAGGAGATTTGTGGAGCGGATTTAGGAAAAATTTACATGGGTTTCAGCCCAGAGTGCAGGGAGAATGTCTCTATCTTCCAGAAAGGTTGCAGAATAAATGTTTCAAAGGTAGCTGCCATAGTAGCTGTTTGCATCTGTCATACCAGGTGAGGACCAGAAGCACCCAGCTGTAGCCAGAGCATTCTGGGTCTTTCAAAAGGCAATGGCTGGAGCTGCTGAAGCATCCCAGGCCCAACACAGCAGAAGTTGGTTGTGATCACAATAAGAGCATAGATTTTTTTTTTTAGGTCCTAGATAATTTATTTAATATTCTTGGGAACTGATATCTTTCTAGTCATTTTCTCCTTATGTGAAATAAAAAGATGATATCCTCCCTTCTTTCCCTGTTTCCTTCATTCTTCCGTCCCTCCTTCCTGGGTGTAGGTTTGGACTTGATTTTGTAGAGTACTAGTATTGGAAAAGTATGGCCTGATTCTAACTTCATATACTTTAAAATAAAATTATATTTAGATTTCTGAGACTATTACCCATCAATGCTTGCATGTTAGTCTTATTTCACTTTTAATAAATTAGAAAAATAATGGGTTTTGCAAATGTGCTAAGATTAGATTAACACAAACACCTGTGTATTTGACTTGATTTCAGTTCAGCTCATCCAAAAAAATTATTAAGTGAATATATCAGAATAAGTCTTATCAGAAAAAAACACAAATGTTGCATGCTGATTATTACAGACTTGATGATGTTGAAGAAGCATCTCAGAATTATCCATAAATATGGAAAAATATTGTGTAAATAAAACTACCAATGGCATATAAAATAGTCATTTTGGACTACCAATAAGTCATTTAAAAATGTGCAGAATTGTTTTTCTTTGAATGTCTATATTGTATTGAAATTGACTAATATCCCTGAAGGTTTTTTAATAAGCCTATTTTAAGCTTGAAGTTAGTGATTGGACTTAATGTTGATGACATTTTAGCTTTTAATTGCTTTATGATAACTTCAAATAATATAGTCCTCACAGCTGTTTACATTTTAAACATGCCCTGAACTTAGTATAGACAATATTCAATATATTAAATGGACCTTTGAATGTTCCGAAATGACAGTTAACGCTATGGTACAAAAGCTACGAAAACCAAGCTTTCATATTCTATTTATGCCCCATGTTAAATTTAACTTTGTTTTCTCCAGTGCTAAAATTATGCAGAAAGCTACACAATTTCTAAGGAGTACATTGGTGTGGCATTGGATATTAATCACTGTCAACAATTTTTCTTAATTCATTGTAATTTTTTTAAGTATTTCCCAATAACTTACTGGCCCTTAGAGAAAATTTTCCCTAGTATAGTTTTTTTTTTCTTTGCTATTAAGATAATTGATAGGTTACTGATGTGTTGTGATATGCTTGGTAACATAAAATTATTTTTGTTTTCTTACTAATAAATAAAAGTTAGGAATTGGAAATTTGGTTAGTGTTATTTAATTTTGGCTCTTGATCATCAATTTAGGATTAACTCTTCATAGAGAATTTATCTTGGCTAAATGTTTTAGTGGTCCTTATGGAATATTTTGGTAACTAGCCCTTTTTTGAAAGACAGGGAGGAGGAAGAAAATCCAATTTCATGGAAATGTTATTTATTTATTTATTGAGCAGGAAGAATAAGATACTTTGGATAATTTTAGAATTCAGAAACCTATTGACTTGGTACTCTAAAAAATATTGCAGTTCTGTTCTAATAGCAGTTTAACTTAGTTTATATTAGCTTTGTTGTATGTGTTGTTTGCTTATTGCTTACAGCAAGATCCTGTGCCTTTCCATCACACAAAATCTGTATTTTAACTTGATTCCAAGAAACAGTCTGTACTAGTCACTGTAACACTTGCTCTTGTAGCTCTAGATGTCTGTATTTTTAGACCTCTGCCATGCTTGGTTATTCTTCTTGAAAATTCAAATAAAATTTGTAGTATTTATCCTGTAAGAGATACTTCTGAAACTTGTTTCAATAGTGTTTGTACAACAGTGAGAAACTGGGGATAGTAAAATGTTTCTTTTGGAGTGATTATGATTAGGTAAAGAATTATATGTTTTCTTCGATACATATTTACCATGATAAATAGTAATAAATCTGTCACAATCTGTTGTGTAAACTCACTTTTTTCCCCATTTTGAAATGGGCCCTCTCTCTTCTGTGACATAAAACAAAATTTACACTGTGACGTTCCATAGTCGGGTATTATTTTGTAACACCTGGATGGATAGAGGATGGATTTCCTTTTCCACCATTAGACTGGAAAACTCTCAAAGGAGTGAGAGGACTGCCTGGCCCTGATTTGAAAACTCTGATGCATCTGTGGCAAGAGAAACATAAACCTGACCCAACATCATGCCACGGATCTGGCAGGATCCTTGAGTGTATGTTTGCATGTGTGCTGCATCTAGAGACCTCAGGATATTGTGGAATTGTGACGAGGTATATGGGCTCGAACCCCATGAAGGAAAGGAGGACTGTCACTATGGAAATCAGAGGCCTGGGGTTAGGGCTAGAGTGATTTTGTTAAGAAGAGGCTATGTGAGAGGACAGCTATCCACATGTCCACAAGAGCCCTGCTTATTGCTACAGAGCATGTTCATGATCTCTGTTAGAATGTTGCTCTTTTCTATCACATCCCAGTTTCTTGTGGCCTTCAACTTCTGATGAGACCTTAGTGTCTTTGGTTGATGCCGTGATTTATTTAGCATGTCCGATCTCTTGAATTTGCATGTGAACTTCTCCGCATCTTGTTTTTCTATGTTGAATCACATTAAATTATAGACTTAATATTTTGCCTCAACTATTCTTCCTAGCAGATTTCTTGGTTATGTATTACCTAGTAATCAGACACAGTGAGCCAGGTATTCATGCAGGGAAAAGCATACCATATTAAATTATCCTTTGGGGAAAATACTCCGAGCTTTCTTACCAGAAATTAACATGAAAATATTCAAACCTAGAAAGTAACAATTTTCATATTGTGTAAAGTATACTTATCAAATGCACAGAGGGGGAAAAGCAGGCATTGTCTTTCAGGATTTTTTTCTCTGGCAGCCAACACATGAACATATTCAGCCTTGACATCAAAATCGTATACATTTTATCAAAAAGCATTAATAGCAGCACCTTTTCTGCTTCAAATATGGGTGGAATTTGTCCCCATTTGTAATCTAGTTTAAGCTTTGGTGACAATCTCACCAAGACCTCACTTGGGATTTTTGGAACTTCACAGTTCTCTGGAAATGTGAAGTTTTTTGTTCTAAGAAATAGGTTCCGATCTCCTTTATCTCCACAGATATTTTCTCAAACTGTACTTTTCAATAAAAGTCTATTTTCTGCCTTTCTTTCTTTCTTTTTTTTCTTTCTTTAATTTTTGGTTTTAAATTCAGGAGGATCTGGTTAAAAGTATCAGGAAAATGGATAATGCTAACAGTATTAATTATCCTCTGGGTTTTCCATTATATAAAAGCCTTTATATTTGAAGGTTTCAAACACTGCTACTGAATCCATATTTTTAGCTATTCTAGAAGGGAAAAAAAACTTTCTTGCTCAAATACTTGTAGAAATCAAAATTTAACACAGGAATTATAAATTGGTTTTTTTTCCTTATTAGGTGTCCATGATAGATGATTGGAAAAACGCGGTACTTAAAATACATAATTCACCCCATAACTTTTGACATTGATCATAAGGAATCAGATTGATACAGTCTATAATTCAATTGCTTTTTCATGTCAACAAATTTAGCTTAAGCACTAATGAAACTTTTTTCTTTCTTTCTTTCTTTTTGAACACAATATCTTTATTTATTTTTATGTGGTTCTCAGGATCTAACCCAGCTCCTCACACGTGTGAAATGGGCACTCTACCCCTGAGCCCCAGCCCCAGCTCCGGCCTTAATGTAACTTTCTTTAAGTTAAAATTTATAAGAGAATATTAGTTCCTTACATGTAAACTGATCATCAGCCACCTGGTCTCTGTCCTGTGTAGGGAATTCTAGAAATAGCTAGTAGTATGATAAACTAAAAGGGAAAGGGGTCTGTCTCTTCAAGGTTTTTTTCTGGAGAAAGAGATACTTGGTGAAGTATAACTTAGGTATTTACTCTAAAATGTTAGGATAGCTCGTTACATTCAACTTTAAACTTAGTGTACCCATTTTCTAACTAAAGCTATTGAAATAGTAGGTTTGGATATTCAAATTGGGCTCAATAAGTATGAAAGTGAACAGCTAGGAAGGAGATTAAGGTCAATGCCGTTAAATCATCTCAAATAGGACAAAACTATTATTCACACAATTTACACAGCATATAAAACACGTCACTGGGGAACACTTTGAAAGCTGAGAAAATATTCATCACAAAGTATTTTTTTTTCTTTTGTGCAGTTAATACTAAATGATAAATTTGATTCTGGAGTGATTATGACTAGGTAAAGACTTATATGTTTTTTTGATACGTATTTACCATGATAACTAGTAATAAATCTGTCTCAATCTGTTGTGTAAACTCACCTTTTTTTCTTTTTAACTTGAATTGAAGGCTTTAAGTTCAGAATATGTATTGTTTTCCTGGAAACTTATGTCGTCATGTCCTCTGTT